GGGGGGGGGGGGGTACTCTTATTGTTGCATGCCTTAGCGGTTAGACCATTGACCACGCGTCCTCGAGAGGACGGAGCCATGTGAGGGGGGGGACAGAACAGGACAAAGACGAACGAGCGTTCGAGTATACCACGGCGAGCCTACAATAGAGCTGCGTCCATGCCAGGGTCTTCGCAGAAACGCGTGTGCTGTCATCCCGCTTATGGCCCTGGATGCCAGCTTTTTTCATCTGCCTTGAAGTTATCAAAAGTCGACTTCTTACACAACATACATTCAATCAACGAAACATATGAAAGATGTAGGAAATTTTTTGAAAGACTAAAGTACCCTTCGAGATATTACAAGAGTCGTCGATTTCTAATCCATTTTTCGTGGGTTTCGATCCTCTTTGTGCAGCCGCCTGGTCCGCGTCGCGCTTACGACACACACCCCAAAAACAAAAAACAGCCCTCTGAAAATATCGCAACCCTCTTGCGCCCGCCTTTTCCGTTTCCCGGTGATACACGCAAACCAAAATTATCCCTCTGAAACCTACTTCAAATAAAAAAAAACCGTCACTACAAAAACAAAAACACGACAAACCTTGTTGCCAAGATCTCTCGCCACCAACTCGCCGTCCGACAGCGTTCTGAGAATCCCCGTGGCCATCTTGCACAGGGCTGCTAGCGTCACGAACGCGCTTACGTGCGCTCGTTTGCTGAAGAGCAGAAAAAAAAACAAAAAAAAAACGAAGAGATCGGACATGAGAAAAAAAAACATCTGTTTATTGTAGAGTTATGGTCCCGGTGTAGCGATCCACAGCGTCACAAAACGCAATAACCGTGACTGAGGCCATCGCCGCTACCACACTGGATTGGCAGTAGGTAGTAGCAGTTTGAGTACCGAGGTGAAGCCGTACCACGAGATTTTGGAACCTCTATTCAGGGCATCCCGCCAAACAGGGAAGTAACCGCTACATAAACCGAGACCACGACGGTACGGAAAACAGATGGTCTCCCCGTAATGACCAAAACAAGGGTGGGTCCTCGGGCGGAGTTTTTTCTTTTTTTTTTCTTTTCCAACCTCAACCGAAATCAATGCAATCGGGTTTCGGTTAACTGTATCCCAACAGGGGGGGCGTACAAATATGTTCTGCATGCCTTAGCGGTTAGACCATCGACCACGCGCACTCTCGAGGGGACGGAAGATTGCTCCCACCGGACCGATCACCGATGGCCAATCGTTCCTTCCTAATCTACAATTTACCATGAGGTGGCTCAAAATGTTTCCCAACGTACAGCCGATCGAACAGGGAGGGGGGGGGGGGGGGGG